GGCACCGCCCACTTATGATCACATGTATGTATATCGGTAACCGTTCTACCAATTTGTACCAAACTCGGTGTGGTTATTGTGCTTGCCACAATAAGCAAAACGTTGAAAATTATTGAAATCGGACTAAAATTACGGCCGCTTTTCATATAACATATAAATTTCAGAAATGCTTGAAACTTCAATATTTCGAAACTGAAGGACGCTAATTTACTCAAAATTGATACACCCTGGCTTACCATCTAGCGGTAGGTTTCGGAAAGGTGAAGAAACATATATTTAATACTTGCGCCGGGTATTTAATGTTCGGCTCCACCCGAACTTAGACTTTCTTACTTGTTACTAGGTACTTTTGAAAGTTGAGCGCATCTTGAGTTTATAGAACTTTTTATTAAGCAAGTAGTTTTTAAGGAAAGGACACAACCGACTTCAATTCTCATATTCAAATTTAGGGGTACCGTTAATTTCTTCATGATCCAATCATCGGATCTCTAAAACAAATTACGGGACGACCTTGAGTTACTATCTTTCTAATAAAAAAAGGATTATTGAAAACGGTTCACGTGGTCCAAAGTTATGTATTCCGGCGAGATGATAACCTCCCTTTTTTTTGAAGTCGGTTAAAATCGTTTGAGTTCTGTTAATCTGTAAATAAAGTGCAGTTTATGAATTTTAAAACGTTAATTTATTTATTACATACTGTACATAAAACTTGCATAAATGTATATTAAAGAGGGTATTATCTGGAGCAAATTTTCAGTATTTTCCGGTGATATATCTTCAGATATTATCTTCCGATATTATAAGCAATATGGTTTTGTGGCACAATCCGTAGAGCTGATTTATTGATGATTATGTGTTGTATGAAACGCTCAAGTTTTGATTTTTTTTTTTAATCATAAAAGAACAAATTTCTCTTGACTGTGACGTAACTTCGAAAAATGTTTGGCGCCTTTAAGGTATCTTACTACCCTTCCCAAATTTCCACATTTATTTTGTATATGCATAACCAGAAGATAATTTAAGTATGCTATTTAAAGTGAAGCCATTCTAAAAGGGCTAGAAAAAGTGCTTCCCTGTAAGGCTCCTAGAAAGGGTTTTCGTATTTACAATTACGTGTATGCTTATATTATTTAGCAGAACCTTATTGCCGATCTCCACAGGATACAATTTATTGCTGTCCGGCTGTCATTTTTGTTGCCAGATATAAGTTATATCAGTGACATTTATGTGTGTTTTTTTTGTATCTGGATAAAAGTATTTGTAAGATGGCTTCTAACTAGTATTTTTTTCTGGATTTAATCAGTTGAAAAATTTATTAAATATGCTATCCCACATACATACAAGTACATAAATAATAACAAATATTTCAATAGAAAACAGCTAAATTAAAATATCAATAACGTTGCCACCACGAAGTGTTCGCACAAATGAAAATGTAGCTGGCAAACTACCAATTGTCGGCAATAGTTGGAAAGATATAAACTCTGATACATATTACTCTTGAAGAGGAATGAGCGGTTCCCATTGGCAATTTATATTCTGACACATGTATCAAGATATAAACTTTATCCTGTAGAGATGTTCAGTTAAATTATTTCCTTAAAGAAGTATGATTTTTACAAATTAAAAGAACAGCTTAAACAAAAATTCTCCAAAAGGCCTTCTAAAGTATGTCCTGCAAAAGCACTTCTGGAAGCTTTTCTTTGGGTAGCGAAACCAGAAGCCCTTCAATTTGTGCCCCTCCATACAAAAACCGGAGAAAGAAATTACTTTAATAAATACCTTTCGGAAGCGATTTTGCTCCTGAAATTCTGGTTAGTATGTAAGACCCCTCAGCCGCGTACCTGTTCACTTGCACATTTTGACATGTGCCTGAAGATAGAAACTTAAGATTTCAACCAGATACAAACTAAAAAGAAGAGGTAAACTCACCAGATATCGTTCAACATGTTAGAAAAAAGGTTTCGTTATAGATTTTCGATTACTAATAACAGAAAGCTTAACATTTTTTTATAGCAAAAACTGTCAAAAATGAACTTTATTAATAAACCTGGACAATTTGCTTAAACCAGAACTAATCCTGGAAAACCAGGACGTCTGGCAGCCCTAATCTAACAGCAAATAAATTTTTAACAAAAGGAGACAATTTAATAGCGATATATAGATTTTAATTATGAGTGTTGGATGCAATCCTCGCTGCTCTACTATATTTTTGGCGAATCTTTGCACTTTCGACGCTTCTCGATGCTTTCCTCGCCGCCTCACTATGTGCTTACCCGCAAGGTGCCGTAAACTGTATTTCTCCTAAACCACTTCTACGCTTGCTATGCAACTTTGCAAAGATTCGGGTCCGACTATTAAATCCATCGATTTCCGTGAAATCTAAGAAAATGCTATCATTGAATCCGAATACGCTACGCTACGAGCGTAAATTCGAAATTCGTAGATTGCCACTATTGAATCTGTTCGTAATGAGTTTTCGTGCAGATCTTCTTCGACAAGTTTATGACGTAAGTAGGATTCAATCGATACCACTAAGGTATCACTCTAATGAGTACTTGTACTCAAAAGACTGAAAGTATCGATACCTACAAAGTATCGGCAAAGTATCGAGTACTTACTGGAATTGTTTTCATCTTCTCTTTCGAGAGATACTTCCCTTTTTTGTTGTAAAAGGTCGTATGATTACGTCTTATCATGGTTTAAAATATTGTATGTCAAAATCAAATAAAAAGCCAATATATTTGCAGGTATAGAAAACGTATATATTTAAGTTGTTTAGTAAGAATACAAAATAATTATTAATTAATATTTGTGGCACATTACCAAGGAAAAGTATTGGTTATAATTTTTTCAGTCATATGAGTGTATAGGTCACCCAATATGGATAAGTTTCGGATTTTTATTTTTCTTTTTATTTTCAAATTAGTTTTATTCACTTTTTTTATAAATAATATAGTTCATTCCATAACAAAAACCTTGTTAATCCAAGTTTAAAACTTTGTACAAAAATTAAAAGCAAATCAACAAAGTTTCATCAAAGAACGTAAATAATAAGAAGGGACAACTTGTGCGTTCTATTTTGCACTAGTACGTTTTCATCAAAATTCCACACTTTTTATTCTGAATAAAAAGTGTTTAATTTTGGTGAAACTTTGATTTTCTTTTAATTTTTGTACAAAATTTGCAACTTGGATTTAAATGGTTTTTGCCATAGAATGAACTATATTTTTTATAAAAAAGTAACAAAAATCAATTTGAAAATAAAAATAAAAATCCGACACTTATCCATAAGGTCACCGCTATAAGTATACAGCGCACTGCATCATTTACAAACTATTTATGAAAAAAAATTGTATTGTTTCCTTTGGTACATTGCTGAGGAACAATATTAGTTATAATTACATATATGACTTCATACAAGTATATTATTCACAAAATATTTATGAAAAAAATAGCTTTTGGGGCACACTGCGAAGAAACAACAACTTTTCTAAATGCTTTCCAGACAAGCGATTTCTACTTTCTCTACTACATGACCGCACTTTTCGCGAAAACTCTAATAACGGGCGTCATTTGTTGAGTTGCCGTTGCAATGATAAAAGTAGTAGAAATTACTCTTTCGATACCAAGTACTTTTTTTCGATACTTACTCGATACCGAACAAAAAGGTATCGAGTAAAAAAATACTTGGTATCAAAAGAAAAGTATCGAGTATTTACTTGTATCGATTGAACCCTAGACGTAAGGATGGAGTTTAAAATTGCTAATCTTAAAAATAATCCATCAAAGGATCAACGAGGATAGTGGCAAACACTTATTAGAATATTGAGTGGGTTAAAATTTTATAAATTAAAATTCATAAATATTGTCAAATTGATAGCAATTTTTACGCATTCGATTATGTGGACTCTATTAAAACGCGAGGTTCAAGTTGTAAAAACGTACATGTCACATAACATAAAACGGAACTGTTTGTTGTAAAAATAGTTTGCATCTAAATCGCGATATATATGTATGTATGCCTACACTTTCTGATCTATTGATATTTAATTAACGTTACTGTTATTAAACCTTTGACAAACTGACAGAAATGATCTCGCATTTGAAAGTATGTGCGTAGTTTAACTTTGTCAAGAAATGGACCTAATTCACGGAATAAGTTTTCTTATGTTTTTCACTATATCTGACATTATACAAATATGTACATACATATGTATATTAATAACACTTCCACGATTTTTTGTTGAACACGGTAAGTGGTTCAGATTAATCTCTTTTTATAGGCAAAAATGTAGCCGAGTGGTAGTTGAATACATACTTTACTAAATACATATATACATAGGCATGTACTATATTTTTATTTAATTTATCATTTTATTTTTTGATTTATTTCATTTTATGCTTTGTTGTTATTTTATGGTTTTTATTTAGTCTCATTTTGTTTTCCGGTGTTGACGGTTCTTTTATTTTAGTTTCCAATTTATTTTATTCTAATTTACTTGATTTGCTTACATTTTACATTATGTTGTTTCAAATTATTTTTAAGTTCGTTATCAAAAACAAAAGATTTGAAGATCTGGACACCTTGTATCTTAACTTACATATGTTTATGTGTATACTATACCTAAGTATATCCTAAACTGTTTTTATTTAATTACATGCATAGATACATATTTTACTTCATACATATACTTACATATGTACATTTATGTTAAGAACCTAATGCATGTTGTAACACTTCCGGGTCGGGTGACTTTAAAAACAATGCACTCGTGTTATAACACATATGTATATAGGTATATGTATGTAAGTACATACATAGTATGTATGTACATATTCAATGTCATTTATACATAAATAATGTGTAAGTACTTATGTATATAAGTAGGTATTTAGTTTTTATACCATAAACATCGACTAACGCAAATGTGACAATTGCAAAATGCCTGTGAATGTATGAGAGTGATTAAAAGTCACTAATTTCAGCAATTACTTACAACGTTCGGCGGCACTCTCAGCACTACAGTCTTTCAGCTCGAAGCTACCAAGTTTTGAACGCATCTCCATGGTGCTTTGAAAATTATTGTATGCTTGTTATAAGAGTTGGTACTTTGTGTATATTTTTGTTGTAGCTGACTGTGCAAATAAATTCCTATAACTATTTTAACTGAATTAGCAATTAAAAATATTTTCAGATATACATATTTAGTGTACGGTAGCGCGGCTATAGGTATTTTAATTTGTTATCATCAATTAAAGGTACCTATGCAGCTGTTCTGACGAATTTTAACATTCCACAATATCGTGATATTTACGAAACATACAAACAAATTGTCATATATGCATGTAAATATAGTTGTATGTATGAACTTATATACTTTACAGACTGCGTGTTTTTATTTGGTTTTAAAATTGAACGTTTTTTTGTGTTTATTTTGTGTGTTACAGATGTAAGTTTGCTTACGTTGACAGAGATTGTTCACAAGACGGCAGATTGACGCAACAGATATACATATGTACAGGCGATTATCAAAATTAAGTATTCTGTTAGCACTCACAAAAATTTGTCTGGTACAATATATCACACTTCAGTCCATATTTTTCTTATGGTTGTAATTTTTTTTTAAATCCGTAAGTGGAAAATTAAGTACAAAATTGGCGATTTGTTTATTTCCTATATTTTGTTTAATATTGTTCACCCTCTGCTCGATAATACTGGCAGTGAAGACGTTGTTTTCGTTGTGGCGAGGTACATATTTATTGAAGCGAAAGCGAAGACAACGATGGGCACAGTTTGGCCCGTTTTTTATTTTTGCTCACTTCGATGTTCTCCGTTGGCCTCTACGAAATTGACTGAGCAGTGCATCCACCGATGGTGCCTAATATACAGCACTATATTGCGAAAATTCGTTGGCAAAAATGAGAATTCGAACCAGGGTAGCCACTCATTTTTGAGAATTCCTCCATTTCGACCATGAAATTCCCCGATTTTTCCCGAAATCTCGTAAAATTCCCCACCCATAGAGATCTTCTTACTTAAAAAAAAATAATGTATTTTGATATATTACTGGCCTTTCTGTGTATTTTATTTTTAAATGTAATTCATCTATGTATTGATAAACCAAACCAAGCTTTTATAAAGTTAGTTAACAAATAAAGAATAAAAAATATTTATGTAATAATGTACATAACATTAGGGTGGTCCAAAAACAGTAAAGTCGGAATTGTAATGCTCTCACCCCCTAGGATTGTTCTTTATCGAAAAAAAGTATACCGCTATCTTTTTATTTTGAAATGAAAAAATATTTAGAAGTCGCTCAAAGCGCTGAAAGTTTTCCATGTATTTTTATATGGGAAAAATAAATTTTTTCGTAGAAATGGTATAGAATTCTTGAAAGTCAATATTTTTCGATCGGAAAACTCTGGTTCTCTTCAGGAGACTTTGAAAAATAATACCCAACTGTTTATTTAACTATTTTTTAATACTACGATTTTTTATTGGTTGCCCCATTGCATTTTTGGGGGTTTTTGACGGACCTATAAATTATAGTTGCAATGAAAAAATGGTTAAATAAACAATTGTGTATTATTGTTGGGAATCTCCTGCAGAGTTTTCTGGTAGAAAAATATGGATTTTTAGCTATTCTATACCATTTCTACAAAAAGTTGTTTTTTCCCCATATAAAATACATGAAAAACTTTGGGCGCTTTGAGCGACCTCTAAATATTTTTTGATTTCAAAATAAAAAAAATAAGGGTATATTTTTCGGTATAGAACAATCCTAGGGGGTGAGAGCATAAAAATTCCGACTTTACTTTTCACATGCATTTTTGCGCCACCCTAATGTACATAAATGCAGTGGTCGACAAAATTTTAACCGTACCAATTATTACTTTTTTCTTTAATAAATTTGATCTATTTTTTATAAAAAAATAGTCCATTCTTTAACTAAAACCGTATAAATCCAACTTTCAAACTTTGTGCAATTTTTAAAAAACATTCGACAAACTTTCGTAAAAATTTCGAGCTGTTTAATTAGATTTTCTAGAAGGATTTTGAGTAGCAGTTTTGTAGCCCACTCAATTCTAGAATAATAAAGTTCAAGTTTCAAGTGGCTAAAAATGTTCGGTTTAGGATGATTTTGCCGTAGTTGTGGCGGTTTTCTTCCATATAAAAATGAATTATGTTTATTCGTTTTATACATAAAAGCAAATGGGACAAAGAAATTTCTAAAAAAAAAGCAAGGGTAATTTTTAGTAATTTGAACTTTATTATAATAGAATTGAACGAGCTGAAATTCCCCACAAAAAACGGTCCCCCCCGATTCCCCACGCAAACTGAAATTCCCCGCAAAACTGGGGAATTCCCCACGAGTTGGCTTCCCTGATTCGAACTCACAATTCGCACTTAGCAACCGCTCGGTAACACCAGCAACGCCAGCAGAACGATGACACCAAACAAGCACTGGTGGAGAAAATTTCGCCTGTATTACATACATACCAACATATGTATATATGTATATGTATGTATGACATACCACAAATAGCTTTCTGCTGAGTTCGTTTGATGGGTGGCGCTTGCACACCGCTCAATGGTAGATTCATTTGTTGTTCCCTTGTACTGGTGCTTCGGGAACCACTTGATGGTTCTTTGCAGCGCCGTGGTGTTGTTTGCTGTCGACTATGAAACTCAGTTCTCAGTACACCACAGTGGGAGAAATGGTTAATTTGGCGGCGTTTTAGTGAAATTTTAAATTTCGAATGCCGCCAAATATCTTGATTTTTTGTCAACTAACAAAACGGATTTGATGTTTTTGTTTTTTGTGTTTATTTTTTGCTGCCAATATTTGCCCAGCTGAGAGCGTTCAAACTTAGTATATGTTTCAGCAAGTACAGTACTTATTTTCCCGCTTTTTTGCAGTACAAAGTTTGTATACAGAAAACATTTTGTATTCAACAATTTTTATGGGCTTGAGGCCGTTTTTAGTGAAAACTTATTGTAGAAAAGCAACAATAATTTGAAAAAATGGTAGAAGTGATAGCTACTTCGGAAATCACCACATTTTCTCATCAGACCTCTTTCAGTAGGATTCGAACCGACGATCACCACTGACTCAGCCAGTTGCCTACGCACTGTGCTAAGTTTGCCTTGTTAATTCTTGTTGCTTATTTCCACTATTTCACTTTGCTAAGCCAACTACAATCAACCGCAGCTATTCCGATGTAATTCACTTGATCATGTGGTTGTTGGTTTTGTTGGTTTTGTTGGTTTTTGTTAAAATTTTTATTATTAGAATGTTTAACTTTTTTTTAGGTGCGCTCGTCCTTAAGTTGTTTGTTTTTGTTATTTTATGGCCTTATAACAATTATATTCAACAATTTTTATGAGCTTGAGGCCGTTTTTAGTGAAAATTTATCGTGGAAAAGCAACAATAATTTGAAAAAATGGTAGAAGTGATAGCTATTTCGGAAATCACCACATTTTCTCATCAGACCTCTTTCAGTAGGATTCGAACCGACGATCACCACTGACTCAGCCAGTTGCCTACGCACTGTGCTAAGTTTGCCTTGTTAATTGTTGTTGCTTATTTCCACTATTTCACTTTGTTAAGCCAACTACAATCAAGCGCAGCTATTCCGCTGTAATTCACTTGATCATGTGGTTGTTGGTTTGTTGGTTTTTGTTAATATTTCTACGCTCGTCCTTAAGTTGTTTGTTTTTGTTATTCGGTCGGTTCGAAATATAAAAATTTTTAAAAAATTATTACACCTAAAATTTGTTATTTTTTCGAACAATACACATTCAAAATGTGAAATGCTTATTGTGCTGCCAGCGCGGCATTCAACTTTGTCAATGCTGTCTCTGCGGATGTCGGTGTTGGAGTGTGACTGAACTCAAGTTCTGCGTATGCATGTTATGTATTACTAATCCTTTTATTCACTCAGCACATTTTTTATTGATAGCGTTCACGTAATACATACCAAAAGCGCAGTTACCCACGGACGTAAAAACGGGGAACGGGTCAGCTGACGCGATCCATCTTATGGGGGCTGCGTGCTAACAAAAACTCAACACCGCCTGCCCGTGACGTAGACCACAGTGTATACAGTAATAAACCTTTTCGCAGTTTTTCACCAATTGGTCCCCGAAGAGTACGTTTTGCGCGCACAGCAACACTTACTGTGGGGAATTTCGCCTCATGACTAGAAAAAGATCTTTTCGAGGATAAAATATATATAGTTGTGTTATTTATGAACAAAATGTAGGTTAAGTATAGTATGAATGCTTCATTAAGAATAATATCAATAGTTAAGTAGATAATTAAAGCTTGTGTTTCTATAAACTGGAAACTCACATTGTATTTCTTATTACAAAACGTGAATTTTGTGAATTAATCAAGGAAAACTCTAAGTTTTCGAATATATTTAAGTGTTTATTCCAAAAAAAAACAAGGTTTGTTTAATTATAGAGACTTCAATACCTGCCAGCGCATCCGCCCAGACAGCTCATTAAGCACACCCAAGTTTGAGCGGAACTCCTCAAAAACACTTAACATAAAGTATAGAATGTCATAAATATGAATCATACACACATACAATAGCAATTGCTATAAATCGCTACCGTATAAATTCAGGATAAGCATTTGCTTGGAGACAGCGGTGGTTAGGGTGGTCATAAGTTCAGCCAACATATTCAATGGTCAATTGCCCGGAGCTGCTCCAACATGATGAGTAGATTTTAGTGAGCCTCACATGTCACTGCCTCTGGCTACAATCTGGATATCTGAATATTGGAAAATAAACAGCAGTTATCTCTTTAAAATGATAAGAGAAGTGTTTGTTTACAAAATTATCTGTGCCACTCTGCCATAGTACGGTTGTTGCTCCCTTTCATACCACAGTAATTTTGTTTGCAACTCTGAATCAGCAAAATTCATGCTCCTTCTCATGATTTTACCACGAGGAGTACTCAAAAAGGTTTATTACTGTATATACTGTGACGTAGACCTTGCTTATCTCTCTTTCTATCAACAGCAAACTTGATATGTTTCTACAAACATATGTACTTACATGTGCAAGCGGATATCTTTATTAAAAGTATGTTCACATATTAATATTATCTCAACTAAAGCTCGTTTTTTAATCACCCCGTTTACACAGGCAAACCTCAGATTATTAGCCGTCAAATTTGTTGTGCTTGTTATTCTCATATCTGAAGGAAAAGTTATGTTTCTTCTCTGTGCCACCGTGATCACGTTTTTCTGCTATATTAAGCAATATAAATATATTTTAACTTAACATTTTATTAAAAATACCTTTACAAACCTCTTTTCCTTGCTAGCGTCCATTTTTGTTTACTTCTACATTTGGCATTTCTCCTCTTCTTCGCAAATATAATCGATAAAACTTGGTTGAACACCGAAAAGTTATCGGTTAAATCTGAGATTATTTTATAATTACAGATTAACAAGGGACGAATTTTATATGGCTAATCTCTTGTCCTAATTACAGATTAGGGAGTTAAGCTCGAAAAAGAGGATAATCTACTTATATGTGAACCTAGTATTGCCGCCAAAATAAACATTCTATAATCTAAGCTGACCAACCATCCTCCTTTGAGCATGATTGTCCTCTTCAAAAATATTGTCCTTCTCTGTCCTGCTTTTGAGAAAAATGTCCTCCTTGTCCTCCTTTTCAAGTATTATAGCAGTCATAAAATTTTCAAAAAATTTCGTTAAGAATAATATTATTTCCTAATTGGACACAATCATTGGCCCGTAGTCATAGAGAAGTTAGAAAAAGGTTTTAATGATTTAAATTGTGTTTTATAGTAATCACCATTTTAACTCCTTTATAGTCA